ACCACCAGTAGAGGGAGTCCTGCTGATGCACATCAACTAGGAACTCCCCCAGGGTCACAGATAGGGAGCTTGCCTTAGGGGAGCGGCAAAGAGGGAGATCCTGCTTTTATAGGGCAGGCCATGCCCCCTGAGCTGGCCAATTGGCCGGCCAGGGGGTGATGCGGCCTGGAATCCCCCCAATCGCGCGGGGGCTAGCCTCCACCCCCTGTGCGCGTGGAGAGGGTGTGAAGCCCGCAACCCCATCTCCTCCAAAGGGCCATGTGGTAATGCCGTGCAAAACATTTGACTGTACTGAATTAGACGTTGGTAAACTTTTTTGCCATAGATGACCATTATCCTTTCAAATGTGCATTTAAAATAAGTTGGTTTCAATATGTCATCTGTTTTCAGAAATGGCAGTGTATAGACAATCCACGCTATCAGCTTGCTGCAGGTGTAATGTAAGCCTACATATGGAAATGCGTGGTTCTTTCAAGCCCTGCTTTTTACAGGCTAGCCTGCTTTGGGACTTGTTGGCACGGCAAATGGGAAGGAGAGAGACAATTCTCACATCCCACTTCAACAGAAAAGTAAAGCAATTTCAGGGACCTCTCCCCCCTCCCAATTCCTACTGGCAGCTTAGACATGTTGAATTATAAGGCTGGCTGCGCAAATGGAAAATGTTTCATATCTACTTCTATACAGATGTAGTTCCGCCAAAACAAAAAGTTTTCCGTCTGGAGCAAAACAACTGATGTGTAATCCTGCAGTATGGATGCAATTCTGCCAATGTAAACTCTGCTTTATAGGGAGAGCTGGTAAGAGATACTAGCCATAGAGCCATAGAAGGGAGCTCCTAGGAGAAAGTTGTAGTTCAGAGAACCTGATCACAAAATGGGTCCAGGCATCATATACATAGGTAAAGGTAAAGGACCCCTGACAGTTAAGTCCAGTCTCGAACGACTCTGGGGTTGTGGAGCTCATCTCGCTTTACTGGCCTAGGGAGCTGATGTTTGTCCACAGACAGTTTTTCGGGTCATGTGGCCAGCATGACTAAGCTGCTTCTGGCAAAACCAGAGCAGCACACGGAAACACCGTTTACCTTCCTGCTTCTAGAGGTACCTATTTATCTACTTGCACTTTGACATGCTTTCAAACTGCTAGGTTGGTGGGAGCTGGGACCGAGCAATGGGAGCTCACCCCATTGTGGGGATTTGAACCGCCGACCTTCCGATCGGCAAGCCCTAGGCTCAGTGGTTTAGACATAGCATGCTCTATTTCCCATAGGCTTTGGGCTCACAAATTCTTCTGAAGTTTCTTGAAACTAAAGTTAGCGCTAAACGTTACAGAATGCATATAAGTGTCATTGAAAGGTTCGCCATTTGAATTAGATCTGGAAATTGTTGTGAAGATTGCTGAGAGCGGTTGGGGGGGAGGTAACACCAAAAGTGGACTCCACAATTTCATGTAGTTTTAAGGAGACAAGGGTCATCTAGCCAAACCCCCTGGAATTTACAGGAATCTAAACTAAACCATCCATGATAGATGCCCATCCAACCTCTGCTTAAAAACCTCCAAGGAAGGATAGTTCACAACCTCCCAAGGGAGACTGTTCCACTGTCAAACGGTTCTTACTCTCAGAAAGTTCTTGCCGATGTTTAGTTGGATTCCCCTTTCTTTCAACTTGAAGCCATTGGTTCGAGTCCTGAGTATCCAGTCTGGTCCTGCCTCTGAAACACCCCCTCAGTTCAGTCAGTTTCATCTCAGCCGGCTAAACCAGAACAAACCAGTGCATCTGTGTCCAGGGCAGCTGTTTATCAGCTCCATCTGGTATGCAGGCTGAGACCCTATCTGCCTGTAGACTGTCTCACCAGAGTGGTGCATGCTCTAGTTATCTCTCACTTGGATACTGCAATGCGCTCTATGTGGGGCTTCCTTTGAAGGTGACCCGGAAAATACAACTAATCCAGAATGCGACTGGTGACTGGAAGCGGCCGCTGAGACCACATAACCCCGGTCCTGAAAGACCTACACTGGCTCCCAGTACATTTCCAAGCACAATTCAAAGTGTTGGTGCTGACCTTTAAAGCCCTAAACAGCCTTGGTCCAGTATACCTGAAGCAGCGTCTCCACCCCCCATCGTTCTGCCTGGACACAGAGGTCCAGTGCCGAAGACCTTCTGTCGGTTCCCTCACTGCGAGAACCCAAGTTACAGGGAACCAGGCAGAGGGCCTTCTCGGTAGTGGCACCCGCCCTGTGGAACGCCCTCCCACCAGATGTCAAAGAGAAAAACAACTACCAGACTTTTAGAAGACATCTGAAGGCAGCCCTGTTTAGGGAAGCTTTTAATGTTTAATAGACTATTGTATTTTAATATTCTGTTGGAAGCCACCCAGAGTGGCTGGGGAAACCCAGCCAGATGGGCGGGGTATAAATAAAAAATTATTATTATTATTATCTTCAGCTAATCTTTGGTTGGGGACTTAACGTTGGCTGAGCCTGGCTGACCTGGAGATCTGCTGCATCTTAAGATGCTCATTTTGGTGGATCTTGTCATAGGATTTCCCCCTAATTTAGTAAAGAAAACCTAAGATAGCAACACCACGACACTGTGGTTTTAGAAGACCAACTATTGTTTTAATCTTTTTATTGAGCCAGCTCCTTTTACCTTTCCAGAAATAATGGGTATCTTTTAGTTTACATACTGATTAAATATCTTTTGTGACTTTCTAAATTATTCCTAATTACAACGGCTGTTTCCATAGTTACAATTTATATCTCCATTTCATACAGGATTTCTTTCCGTTTGCGTCGCTCCCTCCATTTATCCACCTTATTTGTTACCGCAGCAGCCCATAAATGACAGGGCACCTTATCTTTTTTACAGTTCTTCGGGGTGGGGGAACAAAGTCGAGTCTTGAAAGGGGGTAGATTAAGGTGTTTAGTATGCAGCCAGTTAAATTACCAGGAAATATCATTTAGAAGTCTTGTCTTTTTATGAAACTTGCCGCTCTTTGAAAAAGACTGCATAGGAAAATAAGCACAGAATCAATTAGGCCTCCCTAGAAAACTCAGTCCAGAACACAAAGCCCCATTTAATACGTGTAATCATTTTTAACTAACAGCTATAAATTTTACCACATAAATGAGAGATGAATAAGTAATAAAAGACTTTTTTATATATAACTGGCAAATGAATTCTAAGGCTAAAAGATCATTACCATTTTAATTACATTTTCAAAATATTTGTCTTATCTTTCTCTTGCTTTTGCAGAAGGGATTTTTTAAAGTCAAAGATCAGTTTCATGAAGGTTGCAAGATTTCCTGTACAGCTTTGTATCTATTTTCTGCACCAGTTGTATCATTAAGGGAGCAATCCTATATCAAGATCCAAAACAGCTTAGGATCCTGTGGGTCTCCTGCTGAGCCGGGAGGTTCCTGGCAAAGCAAGGCTATCCTTGGTTCAGCTCGAGATATGCTAGCTCCATCTTAGGTCAGCTGGTTGACATATCTCAAAAAGTAAAAACGAGGACACCCCTGAGCCAGACAACGCAATTTCCCAATTGGATTCTAAGCCTGTTCAGTTTGGCCACATGAGAACCCCAGTGTAAGTTTAAATCCAACTGAGCAGCACACTGGGGCTTAGATCTAGCACACATAACTCTGACTTAATTTTACACCACTTTATTGTGCGTAGGATTGCCCTGCCTGTCACTTACACAGGTAAAAGTTAAAGGTACCTATTTATCTTCTTGCACTGGCGTGCTTTTGAACTGCTAGGTTGGCAGGAGCTGGGACCGAACAACGGGAGCTCACCCCGTCGTGAGGGATTTGAACCGCCAATCTTCCAATCAGCAAGCCCAAGAGGCTCAGTGCCACAGAGACCACAAGAGACCAAGACCACAGAGCCACCCGTGTCCCCCTGTCACACAACCAGTGGCCTGTCCACACTTACCATTTATGGTGGTGTAGTTGCTGTTCAGTCCGACATTTTTATTTTTAAAATTTTATTTATAGTTTTCAGATATATACATTTCACTGATTTTGCATTGATTTTGAAATTTTAAGACTTCCTTTCCCCTCTTTCTACAGTTCCCTAAATTTATTTTTAATTTCTTCTGCAAATCCAAATTAACTTAACTTGTTCATTTATTTATCTACTATATATATATATATACACACACTCTTGTATAGCTGCAGGTTATTACAGAAATCCTGTTAGAGTTTTTATCTGTTTACAATTTATTTGTAAATATTAAATAAACCATTTCCATTCTTTTATAAAAGTTTGTTATCTTGATTTCTTATTCTTCCAGAATGTTTCACAATTCCTGCATATTCCATAAGTTTTTGTATCCAGTCTTCCTTTACTGAGACTTCTTCTTTCCATCTTTGGGCAAGTCATGTTCTTGCCTAGTCCAACATTTTTAAGAGTCAAAATAAAAATAAAATTAATAAAAAAAATGCCCAGTAGCACTTTATAGACCGACTAAGTTTGTTCTGGTATAAGCTTTCGTGTGCATGCACACTTCTTCAGATAAGACTTCAGACAAACTTAGTTGGTGTATAAGGTGCTACTGGACAATTATTTATTTATTTGTTTCAATTGCGTCAGACCAACATGGCTACCTACCTGAATTTTTCAGAGTGAATTTGCAGCTAATTGTCAGCGCCTTTGGTCACGTATTTCTGTTATTAGACTGCGAGTGGAAGGTTTTCCTTTGTACGCTAACAATGGTTTATGCCTGAATAGAAAAAAGGCTTCGTGGTTGTACTCTTTAGGTATCTGTGCATATCTGCAGCTTGTAAATGTTCGAGTTATGAGTATGTACACAGGGATAGCTCATGTGTGACCTTTTTTCCATTTAAGGTCTAGTATTCTGGATTCTAGTATTCCTAGAATTCTAATCTTGTGGGAGTATAGGAGAATAGAAGAGGAACTATGTGTCTGCCTGAGCTACAGTGAACCTGGTTACAGTGATGTTACCTTGTCCGTAGCTAATGCTTTGCTGTCATGCGTGTGTGGGAGTCATAAAGCCACGGTAAAGGCTTGTAATATTGCAGGGTGCCCCCTGACCTCGGCTGACCAGCACTCTGAGCTTTACAATGTATTGGAATGTATTAACCTTATATGGTTTGTGGGTGGGTTAAAGCCTTGACCGGATGAGGTAACGTGAGACATTGGCAAACAGCCATGCGGCTGGAGAGGGACAAAGGAATAAAGAAGTTTGCAGGAGGAGGAGAGGGAAGTTCGAGAGGAGCTGCTCCTACCATCATGAAAATATTGCTGGCTCTCTGTGTCATAATTTTATGCTAAACTTCGCCATTTGTACGGCTGGCTCCGACAAGTGGTGCCCCGTGTGAGGCTGAATAAAAGAATACGTCTGAGGACTAAGAGGAAGAGGATTTTAAAAGAAAACCGTGTGAGGCAACTTAAAGAAAACAGTCTGAGGCAGACTGAGGCTTTTAAAAGGAAACCGTGTGAGGTTTGTCGATCCTAGCAAAGGATATCATCGGCTCACTACGCCCGGCCAGGGTTTCAAGCGCTAATCATCTTAAAAAGATCCCGGTGAGTCCGATCCCTTATTTTATATATTGATTTTAGAAAAATGGGCAGCTCTTTGTCTGCTCCCCAACAGAAGTTTTTAAAAGACTTAAAATTTCTCCTCTCCTCCAACGAATTGGAAGTTCCGGATGGTGATTTAATACAGCTCATTCTGGCTATCAAAGAGCATTCCCCCTGGTTTCCTGCAGATGGGACTTGGGAATTAAAACATTGGGACAAGATCGGGGAACATTTTCATGGGCACCCCAGCATAAGTGTTCAGATTCTAAATGCATGGTGCAAGGTTCGTTACGCCATGGACTCTTTATCACCAAAAAATATCTCCATGGCTGCATTGCCAACACAACCTCCAGCTTCTTTAATTCAGCCTGCTGTGTTAGAGACTGTTCCAATACTCGCTTTGCCAGCAGCAGCTCCAGACCCCAAACCTCCGGACTACAGTTCCTCACCTGAGGACCCAATCCTGCAAAAATACCATGGTCTGGCTGGCAATGATCCTGCTCTTTCAGTGGCAGAACCAGCTACTCCTTTTCAACGTGCAGTCCTTGCCTCTTCCTTAATTCAGGATACTATGGCATTCCCTGTTATTGTGCCCCCTGCTGGCGCTCCGGCAGGCACCCAAGCCCAACACCAACCTTTTGACTTTAAGATTTTGAAAGAGCTGCAACAGTCAGTAAAGGCCAATGGACTCCAAGCCCCATATATGCAGGCGCTTTTAGAAGCCACATTAGCCCTGCTATTGGTTCCAGAGGACATCAAGCTTTTGGCCCATACTGTGTTGCCCCCATCAGCTGGTGTTTTGTTTGCCCACGAATGGGAAACTGCCTGCCGTGCTTATGCTCCAGCCTTGTTACAACAAGTCAGAGGAAATAATCCAAATGTTACCCTCGCAGACGTCTTAGATGCCATGTTGGGGCGTGGTCCCTTCGCTCAAGCTTCAGTGCAAGCCACACTGCTGCAAATCTTATTGAGGGACACTGCTCTTGCTGCTAAACAAGCAATGAGAAAAATCCCAGAACCCACCAGTATTCAGTCAAGGTGGGGTTCAATCAGGCAAGAAGCAAGAGAATCATATTCTTCCTTTATGGATAGGCTGCTTACAGCAGTGAGTCGCCAAATTGAAAATCCTGAAGCCAAACAAATAATCATCAAACAATTGGCCTTTGAAAATGCCAATGAGGATTGTAAACTTGCATTGCGACCGATAATACACAATCCTGCCACAGACACAGCAGCCATGCTTCGCATTTGTCAGTCTGTCGGTACAGCCACCCACAAGGCTTATCTGCTGGCAGCAGCGCTAAATGAAAACCAGCCTGTAGCCACCGATACAACTTATTTCCAGGGTGGCAAACCAGGATCACCGATACCCCAGTGGGGGATTAAACAGTGGCCTCTACCAAAAGAAAAATCCGCAGCAGCGGCACCAGCTATCTCTGAACAGCTTATTTCTGAACAATTGACTTTTGGCCACATTGAAGCATCTTCATCCCACTGGCTCCAGCAGACAGGGAACAGTTTGCTTTTACATCGCCAGTATATAACAATTCGCAGCCCACCCAGCGATATCAGTGGGTTGTCCTGCCTCAAGGCATGCGGAACTCCCCTACACTTTGTCAACATTTTGTGGGTGATGCATTGAAACCTTTCCGCATGCGCCACCTAGAGGTGCTGCACACGAGCTGCATCTGGCAGTGTTGCCTTCCTAACCATTTGCCTTGCCATCCTTTGCTGCACCGTTATAGAAGGAAGAGAAGCAGACGACCAGTCCAGTTGAAACCACCATATTTCACCTCATCGGCTGGCAAGCAGCTGTCGCCAGAATCCTACTCTGGCTGGCAGTATCCACGGCTCAGCCACTTTCGAACTAGAAGAACAGCGTTGTTGAATAAGACTTTTAGGGGAGAAAATTATCATAAGATATGGAGGGATAATATTTTTGTACAAGATATGATTATGTTTGCCAGTTTATTGCTTGCTTCTAAATGTTGGGTGTGTATGCCAGTCATTCAGGCATAATGCTTCATGGTGTGCCTGTCAATGGATCTTTTCAATTTACTAATATTATATCCCCTAAGCCTCCAGTACAATTGACCCTCCATGAGCCTGCCCCCATTATTTTCAAACTAAGGAGGGGAAAGAATCATGGGGCATATATCAAAACTGCAAATATACATTGAATTTCACTTTTAATAGCTCTTGTTCTCTTACAGGAATATACAGTGACAAATCTCAGTGCTATAGGAGTGACACCAGTGCATGGCTAATAAACTAAAAGGAAGCCTACCATGCAGCTTGGAATCAGAATTCTTATATTCTTGGCTTCCGGATTTTAGTGATCATTATAGTAGTTATTGATTTTAGTGATCGTTATAGTAGTTATTTGTGTTATTTTGTGTTGCTGTATCCAATGTATTCTTTCTATAATCTCTATATGTACTGCATGGTTCTCCAGTCCGCAGCCCGCTTCCGGTGTCACAAGAGTCGCTTATCGCGCTCGATATCGCGTATTGACTCTGATATAAAGTAAAGAAAGAGGGAATGTGGGAGTCATAAAGCCACGGTAAAGGCTTGTAATATTGCAGGGTGCCCCCTGACCTCGGCTGACCAGCACTCTGAGCTTTACAATGTATTGGAATGTATTAACCTTATATGGTTTGTGGGTGGGTTAAAGCCTTGACCGGATGAGGTAACGTGAGACATTGGCAAACAGCCATGCGGCTGGAGAGGGACAAAGGAATAAAGAAGTTGGCAGGAGGAGGGGAGGGAAGTTCGAGAGGAGCTGCTCCTACCATCATGAAAATATTGCTGGCTCTCTGTGTCATAATTTTATGCTAAACTTCGCCATTTGTACGGCTGGCTCCGACATGCGTGGTACTTTGTCTCAGTACCATCTTCTCTTATCTGCAATCTCTCTCCTCTGAACTGAGCTTGCAGACTGACAGCTTGCACCAGTCAGAAGGAAGTGGTGCAAAACAGATGTGTCCCAAACCACACCAAACATTCTGGATCTTTCACAAAACAGATCTTTTCTTTCGCAGTAGAAAAAGTGTTAGAATAAGAAAAAGTGTTTATTTGAGTACACTGTTTGGGATTACTAGCTGAGTAATGAAGATGCCATGTGATAGCTTGCAATTTTATTTTATTTTTTTTTAAAAATCCCACCTGCTTCTTCTTCTTTTTTTTTTAATATAATATTTATTGGTTTTACAAAAAAAAAAAATACAAAAATTCCAAAACATACAAAAATACAAAAATTCCAAAGACAAAAAACAACAATAACAATGACAAAAAGAAAACAAAAGATAACAATAACCATAAAAAAGAAAAAACAGAAAAATTTAAAAATTTATACTTTCATTTAACCTTCTTATCTTTCCTTAGTTCTTTGACTTCCCCGCACCTCCCCACTTGTATTTCCATTTAAAAACTCCTTTCAGCAAATCCTTACCCTCCTTCCTTTATCTTAACTCAAAAACTTAATCTATTTATAAATAGATATTTTTACAACCTTATCAATCAAATATTCCATGCTCTTAAACGCAAGGCTTTTGCCAATACCAGTTATTTTCAATCAGACCTCAATTTAACATTCATTAATTTTATAGTATTTCTGTAAATAGTCTTTAAATTTCTTCCAATCTTCTTCCACCGACTCTTCTCCCTGGTCACGGATTCTGCCAGTCATTTCCGCCAATTCCATATAATCGATTACCTTCATCTGCCATTCTTCCAGAGTGGGTAAGTCTTGTGTCTTCCAATACTTTGCGATAAGTATCCTTGCTGCTGCTGTTGCATACATAAAGAAAGTTCTATCTTTCTTTGGCACCAATTGGCCAACAATGCCCAGGAGGAAGGCCTCTGGTTTCTTTAAGAAGGTATACTTAAATACCTTTTCAACTCATTATATATCATTTCCCAGAAGGCCTTAATCTTTGGGCACGTCCACCAAAGGTGAAAGAATGTACCTTCAGTTTCATTACATTTCCAACATTTATTATCGGGCAGATGGTAGATTTTTGCAAGCTTGACTGGGGTCATGTACCACCTGTACACCATTTTCATTATATTCTCTTTTAAAGCATTACATGCTGTAAACTTCGTACCTGTGGTCCATAACCGTTCCCAGTCAGCAAACATGATGTTATGTCCAACATCCTGTGCCCATTTAATCATAGCAGATTTTACCGTTTCATCCTGAGTATTCCATTTTAGCAGCAATCTCAATCCCTGGGGACAGACTGCCAGGTTTGGAAAGATTGGATATTTTGTTAGCACTCTAAATGGACAATGTATCTTCTTGCCTATTAACTTCACAAAATTGAAACTTTGGGAAAAAAAGTTGCCTCTTTGGCTGAAGGGGTTCTTAAAAAGTTTTTAAGAGTTTTTATTCTTGATACTTTATTACTTGTGTCCCCCTGGAGGCCAAAGGGGAAAAAGTTTCTAACTGACTGAGGAATTTTCCACTCAACAGCAGCCTGGGAAAGCTTAACAGCAAAACAACTCCAACTGTGAGAGTGACCTTGATTTCTAGATAAAGTGCCATGGATGAAAGAACCTTGAGGTCCGGGAAAGGCAGGCAACAGAGCAACATTGCTCAACAGCAACAGCGCAGGCCATCCATCGCTGGGCCACAAGGAGATGATCCAATGCAAACAAAGGGGGAAGAAGGACTTGCCAGTTTATTTAAAATTGTTAATGAAGGTTTTGAAAAATTGGGTCAACAGAATGCCGAGGCACTAGAAGCTATTAGACAAAACTCTGCAAGTATTGATAAGCTGACTCGACAGACTAATGAAAATACAGATGCGATCAAAAAAATTACTGGAACAATCTGCTGAAACTCAAAAAATAGCTTTGGAAGCTAGAGAAAAGGCGGTAGCTGCTGAAGAAAAATTACCACCTTTAATTAAACAAGTTGAAGAGCATCACACAAGATTGGGAACGCACCAGGAATTGTTATCTGTGATTGAGCTAAAGGAGAAACAGACCAACTTAAGGATCAGAGCAGTACCTGAGCTTGAGAAAGAGAGCCTGGTAGACTTTTTGACACAAGAATTTGCCAATTTTTGGCAATTGAATGATAAGGAAGATTTCAAGATAACGTCTGCTTTCAGGCTTGGAAGAGGAGCAAGAAAGAACAGAGTGAGAGACTGCCTGATTACCTTGCGATCTAAGGAGGAACGAGATAAAATTTTGAGCTCACACTACCGAAATACATTGATAATACAAGACTCAAGGATAGAAATATTTAAAGACATTCCAAAGTTACTTTTGGAGCTTAGGTCCAACTACCGGGACCTGGTGACGCTGCTGAGAGGAAACAGAATTTTTTTTTCAGGTGGGAATTTCCTCAAGGCCTATCTTTTAGTTTTAAAGGCAAGAAAATTAAAATAAAATCTGTGGAGGAGACACAGAACTTTTGAGAGACCATCAAGAGGACCTACAAAAGGATTGGGGGAGGAGCCAGAAGCCTCTTTACCAGGATTGGATCCTACATCACCACCTTCGGGAGAGGACAAGACAGAGAAGGTGAAACCACCAACAGAGGAAGAAGAGTTATTGGGAGCAGTTGGAGGAAAATAAAGAAACCATCATGGCTCTGCAACTTTTAACTTGGAATGTTTGTGGCCTAAATTCTCCTGAAAAAGGAGGAAAGTATTTCATATACTTAAAAAGAACAATTGGATTTAATTTGCTTACAGGAAACTCATGTGATGAGGCTCCACAGGAAAATATTGATTAATAAGAGATTGGGCCAAGAATTTATTTCATCAGATAAAGTTAAAAAACGAGGAGTGGTCATTTACGCAAAGGAGAGCCTCTCACCAAAATTCGTCTTTAAGGATGAACAAGGAAGACTCATAGCAATTGAAATTCAAGTACAAGGAGAAAAACTTTTGATAGTAGGCTTATATGCACCAAATGAGGGGAAATCTATATTTTACAAAAAGTTGCATGAGATCTTGATGGACTATATGGACTATAACACTGTTTTTATGGGAGATATGAATGGGGTGGTTTCCACAAATATGGACAAGTCACAAAGAGAGGTAGTCACTAAAGATGGCAGACTACCGAAAACATTCTTTGAATTAACTGACAATATGGATCTGATTGACATTTGGAGAACTAGGAATCCCCTTGGTAGAGAAGGAACCTTTTTTTCTGAAGCCCAAAAGACATGGACAAGAATTGACCAAATCTGGACTACTAGAGGACTGGCACCTAAGGTTAGGAAGGTAGAGATCTGCCCAAAAACATGCTCCGACCATAACGCCGTGAGAATGGAGATGAAGTTAACATCTACTGGTTCCTTCCGATGGAGGATGAATGACACCTTGTTTAGAGATCAAGAGGTGATTAAGAAGGCCCAAAAGACTTTGAGAGACTACTTTGAGATAAATTTGAATACAGCTGTAGAAAAAAGAATAATCTGGGACGCAAGTAAAGCAGTTATGAGGGGCTTCCTGATTCAACAGAATTCAGTTAAGAAGAGGGCCCAAAATGTAAAGAAAGAAAATTTTTTGGAAAAATAAAGGAGGGCGAGAAGAAACTGAGAGTGAAGCCCAACTCACAAGAGATTCTGAGGAAATAAAATTGCACCAAGTGCAGTATATGAAATTGATAAATCAAGAAGTGGAATGGAAAATTAAACAAATGAGACAAAAGACTTTTGAATCGGCAAATAAATGTGGGAAACTGCTGGCTTGGCAGTTGAAGAAACGACAAAAACTCAATACTATTACTAATTTGGAAGTGGAAGGAAAAATATCAAGAATCCAGAAGAAATTAGGAAATGCTTCCAGAGATATTTTAAACAATTATATACACAAGGGCCTCAGAAAGAATTTGAAATAGAGCAATTTCTGAAAACCAATGGATTACAAAAAATTTCTCAGGATAACAAGATATTGCTGAATTATAAAATTACAGAACAGGAGGTTGAAGGTGCCATTCAGAATATGCAGCTGGGAAAATCTCCAGGACCGGACGGTTTAACCTCAAAATATTACAGAACCCTGAAAGACTGGTTAATTCGACCATTAACTGAGGTTTGCAATGAAATTTTAGAGGGGAAAAGAGCGCCAGAGTCGTGGAAGGACGCATTTATTACACTTATACCAAAGTCTGAGACTGAAAAGACACAGCTTAAGAACTATCGGCCCATATCCCTGTTAAATGTGGATTACAAAATTTTTGCTGACATTTTAGCAAAAAGGCTTTAAAAAGTGCTAAAAGAAGTGATTCACAAGGACCAAGCTGGCTTTCTTCCAGATAGACATCTTTCGGATAACACAAGGAATATAATTGATATTCTGGAGAAGCTGCAAGAGGAGA